TTTTTTACCTTTTTTCAAAGACTGGTTTAAGAAAAACTTGAATAACTCAGCCAAAACCTTACCAATTTAGACTTATGAGGTATCGTTGGTAAGGTATTTTCTCTCCCTTTTAATTTCTTTGCGAATAATTGCAATCAAAGTTGAATTAAGATGTGTTGGTATTTGATAAAAAAAAATTTGGGACGTGAATGAGTTTTTTTTTTGCAAAGAAATAAAAAGGGTGCGAAAATACCTCTCACTGATACCTCATAAGTCTATATCGGTAAAGCAGTTATCCTAGTTTTTCTTACACAAATCTTTGAGAAAAGTTAAAAAACAGCATCTAAAATCTCATTATTATGATTCCGTAGAAACTTTTTTTTTTAATTTTTATGCAAACTTTTTAAGCTTAAACTTTTTAGTCATCTGGGGGATTTTTTCCAGAAAATCCTTTAAGAAACTATTTTTATTCATAAAAAACTACATTTTTAGAGGTATTTTCGAACCGGTCCAGCTCACGAAAATCTTAGTATTGTTTCGCAACATTTTGCTAGAAGTCTTAAAATATGCTAGGTTTGGTAATCCCGCCGGAAAAACCGCAACTTTTTTTGTGGCGATGCAGTCTAATGTACAGTAGTCGAAAAAATTATATCTGCACCAAATTTTCACAAGTTTTAAAATATTATTTTTCTTGTTATCTAATTTTGGTTAGTTTTTTATAGTTCATTCTTTAACAACATGCGTCTAAACACAAATTTAAAGGAAGTGTCACACGATTGGGTGTTTGCCAAAATTTGGTGCAAATCGTATCCTGTGAATACCCAAATGTTTTTCTTTATCCCAATCACGAAAATTAATTTGTTGAAATTTTTCAATAGAACATCGCTGTATTGTACCAATCCTTTGACTACAAAAAAAAATTTACCATTTGTTTATTTTGTACCAATAGCCTAATTTAAGAATGTAATAATCTGTACAAATGTACCAATCGAGTGATAGCCTTAAAAATGTATGCAATTTAAAAAAATTCAACAAATTTTCGTTAAAATTTCGAATTTTTTAATAAGATTCTGAGTAAGTACACAGCTGCAATAGAATAAAGTACAAGTTTCAAATGGCTAAAAACTGCGATTAATTTTTTGGAGTTTTTAAAAAACCTCGAAATTTTTACGAAAGTTTGTTGAATTTTGTTTTAATATTGCACAAATTTGGAAACTTGGACTTACACGGGTTTTGTTAAAGAATGAACTATATTTTTATAAAATACGGCCTTGATGTCAATAAATGCTCAACTTGAAAAATCATCTCTTCATTTTAGGTACTATTAGTATTTTTTAGCTCTTGTTTTCCGACCGGTTTAGCTCCAAGCGAAATAGTTTTCTGGCAACACTGATTTGCGATTTTGCGTACAACTACATACGAATACAGAAGGTGCCCTGCAAAAAATTGTGCGACTAATCTCTAAAGAGAGTATTCCGAGATTACTCTCTATCGGGTACAGTTGGGCATTAATTAGTCGCAACTAGTCTCATACGGGTACTAATGGAGATCAATTAGTCTCGACTCATCCCTTGCGGGTACCATTGTATGCAGTATACAAAACTTCAAAATTTTTACAATAAAAGTTTCTTTTTTTAAAAAAATTTATGACCAACTGAATTAAATTAAATTTCCTTTATTTTCATATGTGTAACCATTCATGATTCTCAAAAATTTTGTGTTAAACAAGCCTTGGCTAACAACTTTGTATTTTACACTCGCATATGGCAGTACACAAAACTTTAAAACTTTTATAACAAAAGTGAATTTATTTAAAATAATTTATATCTAGAAGAAAAATAAAAGGACTACCTTTACTGTAATTAACATTAACAACAAGAATTTTTAACCATTTACCCAAAAAAAAGCCTTGGCTTACAACTTTGTGAACACTCGCACAAGGCCGTTCACAAAACATAGAAATTTTGGAAAAAAAGTTTATTTTTTTGAAAGAATTTGTAACAAACAGAAAAGTAATTAAATTACCTTTCTTCTACTTAGCATTAACAACAAGAATTTTTAACCATTTCCAAAAAAAAAGCCTTGGCTTACAACTTTGTGAACTTCGTACATGTATTCTGCACTCGCACAAGGCCGTACACAAAACAGAAATTTTTGTAAAAAAATTTAATTTTTTTTTAGGAATTTATAACTAAAAGAAATTTGTAATTTTTATGCATTTTAATTTAAAACAATTTCTGCATAATCGATGGCAATTAATGCCTTTATTAAACTCTATATGTAATGCATATTTCGATAAAAAAAGAAGGGAGTTTAATCAAATGGCATTAATTGTCATCGATTTTGCAGAAATTTTTTTAATTAAATTGCATGTGGGGGCTCTTTAACATTGCGTCACATTAGGATTAGGTTAGGAGTAATGGCTTCTGCTGCATTCATGCACTATAAAGCGATTGCATTATTTGGAGCCGATTCTGGAGTTGATGGCGTTGTGATGCGAACGTAGGTCTCTGCTGGGAATATAGAAACCGAATTAGAAACTGTAGTATCCTTGCCGGTTGCATCCTATAATTAAAAAAACAGTAAATAAATGATGTAGTTGAAAAATTACATTTCGGGTACGGTTTAGTTATTTGACCCGAATCAAAATCGTTGTACAAGTAACTAAACATTTTCCTATATTTCTTAAGCTTTTTTTGCTTACCCTCATTTCATTCGGAAGATGTTTTGCGAAGCATGCGTCCCATTTTACGTCACTGTGTCTGGTGTAAGTTCAAACGAACCTTATTTTGGCTGGATGGAGCAATGGAGGTAAAGCGAAATGTGCTTGCATCGCGTTGATCCTTGAAATAGCGGGGTGTGTTTGTCGCTTTCGAGTATATCGCTGGCGAGGACGATCAGGTAGCGGGGTTGCACTTTTGAGCAAGATAAATAATAGCAACCATTTAATGCTTGGGAGTACATACTTAAAACTACCATCATACCTTATTATCCAAGCCATTGCAAAACGCTCCAACTTGTGCACAAATAACCAATTGCAGAGCTTCGTAGCAACTGCGTAGCTCGCTTTTATGAACGCACGTAATATACAATAGCTGCATACTGCAAAATAATTAATATTAATTAATTCATTACGGTTTTGCACAGAAATATTGCCATAAAAACTTACTTTTGTAATTCACTTCACTTCATTTTATAGTTTCTGCATTTTTTGACACTTTGTTTATATTTCCAAGCAGTGTTGTTAAGTTACGGAAATTTCCCTTTTGTGGAGCTATTTACAAATGAAGGGGACATTTCATCGACATAATATTTTCACGCATACATCATTCAAAGAGATGACGTAACCAATGTCGATAATGAATTATTATACGAATATGTTAAAGACTTTGCAAGCCTGAATTTAAATACTTACATATGTATATGAAGCGATATTTATAATTAATAAAACTGAAATCAGACACATAAATCACTTCTATTGCGACAATACTCTATGAAAATATGCGCTAAAAACAAAATAACTTAAAAAGATATTTATTTTTTAAGTTAAAAGAAATTATTGTTAAACGAAGGTTTTAGTTGATTTATATGTATCCATTGCCACACAGGGAACTTTTGTTTGAAATTTTAACAAAGGCAAGTAGAGTCGGCAACACTGTTCCCAAAGTTGCAAAACTAGAAACTCGAAACTATCGATGGTTGTATTGTTAGTATCGATTGTTTTCCTCTATTGTTAGTGCATTTCTGTTATATCGATTATTATTGCAAAAAAGTAAACAGCAATGTGCGTAATAAAAAAACACGTTGATAACAATACTTTTAATAAAATGTTAAGTTCATAGCTGATGAACGATACAGCATTTAAATCGAGTTTTGCACATAATATGCAATAGCTACATACTGTAAGATAATGATTGGCAAAATCTGTCATATATAGCGATCAATTTGGTGAAAACGAAGTAATATGAGAGCCAGAGTAGCCTTTCTACAATAATAGTAAACATGATGAAGTAATTGAACAACCTAACATTTGTTTGGTAAAATCTAAAAAATTTGTTCCAGCTTTCTGTTGCTAACTATTACTACGTTTATACATAAGCTATTTGCAAATAAAAATAATTTGCAAATACCTAACTTACTGCTTTTTATTCGATGGTGAAGAATGGCGGTGTCTTGTGCTTATTTGCAAATAGTACCACTAATCAATATTTATTAGCGTGATTTAGTTATTTGCAAATAAAAATAATTTGCAAATACCTAACTTACTGCTTTTTATTCGATGGTGAAGAATGGCGGTGTCTTGTGCTTATTTGCAAATAGTACCACTAATCAATATTTATTAGCGTGATTTAGTTATTTGCAAATAAAAAATTAACTTAGCGTTTATGCAGCAAAGTTTACCATTTTGCAAATTGTTATTTGCAAATAATACTTGCGTGTAAACGTAGTATATTACATCATGAAAAAGCTAAAAGGTGGTTACTCTGGCAATAAGAGATACGTTTTGAACTATGCTTTGCTGGCAACCTTCTCACTTTTTTTAAAAAAAGGGATTTAGGCTACTCTGGCTCTCATGGTCCCATATGTATATCGATTAATTTAGTGATAACTAATATGGGCAAGACAAAAGCAAATGAAAACATTAAATTTTTACATAGGTGAGTATATATACATAATTAAACTAAAAATTTATTATAGGTAATTTTTAGGAAATATTTATCTGAGTTGTACAATTATACATATAGTAAATCGCATTTTAATGAATCGGGATAGTTGCAAAGCAATAAGAATTCTATTGATAAATTAAACAAAAGCGTAATCGTTACTTGTTGGTATCTAGTTCTGACACAGCTGATTAAAATAAATTGCGCAGAGTGGTGGTGAAAACTTTAATCGTCGTAACAAAATTTAAGTTAAATTATTAAAAACAAAAAAAAAACATCAAATAAAACAAAAAGTAAGCAGCGAACAATATGAATAAGGTAAGTAAACGCCACCTTAGAAGATTAATTAGTAATGAAAGAGCAAAAAACCGGGAGAAATTGAGGTTAGGTACAACTAAGGCATGTGCGGCTGCGGAAGTTGCTAGAATTGCCGAAATTGAAGAAATGCCTCCGGATGAGCCAAGTTGCTCAACGGAATTACGTTTCCAAGAAAAACTCAAAATGTGGGCAATTCATAATCAAATATCTCGGAAATCCTTTTCCGAACTCTTGGCGCTCCTTGCAAAAGAAGGTATGAATGTACCCAAAAGTGCCGAATCTCTTTTAAGACATAAATCTCTAGCTATAGTAGAAAATATGAGCCCGGGACTCTTCTGCAATATCGGCATTAAAACGCAATTAGAAAAAATTGATGACCAATTAACTAATCACAGCAAAATAGTAGTAGATGTTAATATTGATGGGTTGCCACTATATCGTAGCTCAAGGATGCAGCTGTGGCCAGTTTTATTACGTATTGTAAATGTGCCAAATACATCGGTACTCGCTGCTGGTATTTATGCAGGACAATCCAAGCCAGATTCTATAACAAAATTTTTAAGCGAATTTATTGAAGAAGTCGCAGAACTGCAAGCTTGTGGTTTCGAATGCAATGGTCGCTGCATTACGTTTCAGGTTAGGGCTTTTATTTGTGATGCGCCGGCGAAATCTTTTCTCTGCGGAATACCTGGGCACACTTCTCGACATGGTTGTACCAAATGTAATCAAGTGGGCAAAAAAATTGAAGGCGTACTAACCTATAGTACCAACGTCGGAACGCTTATTTCCAACTCTGATTTTTTGGAACGCAAATACCCGTATAAACATATATCCGCTTTCAAGACCAATTTATCTCCTCTAGAGAAGATTAATATTAATATGATTACGCAAGTTCCTTTTGATGTCATGTACTTAATTGATTTAGGTGTCATGCGCAAGTTTCTTATACGAGTTATAAACAATAAATCGAACCATAAGTTGAAAAAAGAAGCAAAGGTTAATATTTCTTCAAAACTAGTAGCTTTATCTTCACACATCACCAAAGAGTTTGTACGAAAACCAAGACATTTGGATGAAATAGCAAATTGGAAAGCTACCGAATTCCGCATGTTCCTTTTCTATTATGGAATTTATGTCTTAAAAGATGAACTTCCCGATGATGTTTATTACGAATTCCTCCTTCTACATTGTGCTTGCCGGTTATTGTTCTGCCCTAAAAATTATAGGGCTAATATTGATACAGCGGAAAATATATTAAAATTATTTGTTCAAAATTTTGCTCTTGTGTTTGGAGAAAATAGCGTTTCGTACAACGTACATGGTTTACTACATGTTTCAGAAGATGTTAAAGAACTAGGTGTACCGTCAAATTACTCCGCATATTCGTTTGAAAATTATCTACAAGTTCTGAAATCGTATGTAAAAAAACCAACACAAATATTACAACAAATTTCAAATATGCTCAAACACGAAAAAATTGTCACTGAGCAAAAGTTTGCTGGATTTAAAATGAAAAATGATTGCATAAAAAGTTTTTATTGTAACGAATACATGTTATCCACAGCATGTCCAAATAACTATTGTTCTGTGAAACCATTTCAGTATATAGAAATACAGGAATTCTAAGATAAAAATAAAAAAGTTATAAAAGGCAAGAAATTTTTGAATTTGGAAAGCTTTTTCGCAGAACCCATTGATTCTTGCACATTGGGAATCTGCACTGCAGACTTCACTCCCTCGCCTATTGTAGAGGAATTTTCTCTGGAGGATATAGAATACAAATTGATGTGCATTCCTTTAGGAGAGAAAATTCTTCTCATTCCAATTTTGCATACTTGCATGTAGCTCTTTTTTATTAACTTACTTTTTTAACTATACTTTTCTTACTTTTTGTTAAAATACGAGATCAATAATAAATTTATTTTTATTTTCGAGCACTTTCTAAAAAAATTCGGAGCGCAAAACCGCAGCACCTCGATGGCGGCCATCCCAGCAAAAAGGCAAAATGTAAGTATACATTATTTATTAATTATATTAGTACATAAGCGTAAAATCAATTTTAGATGCGAACAAGACTATTAACCCGTGGACAAGCGGTATAAGTCACGTCAATGAATGTACAATAGGTAATAAACTTCTGCAATGTGAAATTTTCATACTTTTGTGTTCGTTATGCTTAACTTTCGTTATATTTTTAGAATCACGTAGAATCAGCGTTTCGACGTCGACCATTGGATATAACCTCGGTACATTATTTAATTATATACATACATACGTGACGTAAAACTTAAGCTACCAGCCTCTTACCTCTTGGTGCTTTGTTCTCTAATCAAAACCATATATTTAAACCGAAGTTTAAAACTTTATTAATACGTAGCACTGCTATTATTTTCGCTGCAGATGTATATGAAAAACATATGTATGTACATACATATCGCCAACTGAATTGTAAAAGGTCGTAACTGAAAAAAAAATCCAAAATATTATTTTTGATTGACTATGATACATTTCATCGAATTACAAGTCCCCACATTGTTTTATCTAAAAAAACGTTTGTTAGTTATGGCTTTTTGCAGTTTAGGTGGCAATATATATGTATGTACATAGTTATTATTGGGTAGCCGATTGTAGTTGATGAGATTGATGAGAAGCTGGATCAGCTCCTTTTGAGTGTCGAAAGGCAAAACACCGCGATTATGGATTGCAACCCAGAAAGTGGTTACACAGCAATTCGTTCGCCAAGAGACGCAAAATGTACCTGTGGCAAAATACTTCCCTGTATGCGATATAACGGAAATGGAGGAGCTTGAGGCAAAAATTTCTTCTGCCAACAAGGATGTATATGTACGCTAGTTATTTATTTATGTGTGAACGAAATTTGTAATATTTATTGTACCTATTTACAGGAATCTGTAATAGCATCAATTTTATGTAATAACATGAAAAATATTTCACTCGTCTTAAAAACGGACGTCATTGTAGCACATGGACAAATTGGGCCAATAAAAATTTCCAAACTTTTATACCGTGTTGACAGGTAAAACGCAAAATTTCATTCTAATAAATTATGATTTCTTTTTAGTTTAAATGAAATTTCTTTTATAAAATTTTCAGGAGCCGTTGCCAAGTTACCATTCAAGGGATCGACGCCGGAAGAGATGCTTAGAAAAGCCATCCATTTTGAAAAGGCTAAATATTTTAAAAAACTTTACCGCGAAAAGAAAAAGAACAAGGAGAATTAAGTTCTTAAATTATTCTTAAGTGTCAAAAGAACTGAGGAAATCTGAAATTTTTAAGTTTTTCACTAATCCCCCTATCATGAATTTTCACACGATAGACGATAAACGCTTGCAAGCGTATCGTACGAAATCAGTTCTCGTATAATCGTTTTCATATGACAGACAGATGTATTGTTGTGAATGGCTGTGGTTTTTGTTCACTTTTTATTGTGAACCAGCACAAATCAGCTACGCTAATTATAGGATTTCATACGACAACATCGATTCGTAATAGAGAATAACAGAATGCAAGCGTCTATCGTGCAGCGTACGAATTCATAATAGGGAGGTTAGCGTTTGATAATATTAATATCATTGTTTTTGTACAAAGTTTGGAACTGTGATTTATGTTTTTTTCGTAGTAATTGCAACTTACTATTTATTTTATTAATTTTTTTTTGTTCCATTTTTACGGAACTCACTGTGCCTAAGACTGTGTCTAAGACTTAACCATGATAAAAACATTAGAAGGTAAAACCGNTGTAGATGTTATTAAAAATGCAAGTTTATTATGTCCTAACTTGCATATCTTGTAAAGATAAGGCATTTCCATGGAAAGATGTTGCGTGCTGAAATACTCTCGCGCAGTCTCCTCCGGTGATTATAGTTTTCGCGTCATCCACCAAATTCTCCAAATATTGCAGCCGTTGTTCAACAAGGTTTGGCCCATTTATGACTGGGTTTGAGATATGCCCCTTTACATGCATTTTGATTTTTCCCCAGATTATTTCAATGGGGTTTAGCATGGGGGAATATGGCGCTAAACGCAGCACTTTATTAATGAAATGTCCAAGTAATTTATATATATGCATATTTT